CAGTCTGGAGTGCAGTGGCGCGATCTCAGCTCATTGCAACCTTCCGCCTCCCGGGTTCAAGCGATTCTTCTGCCTCAGCCTACGGAGTGGCTGGGATTACAGGCACGCGCCGCCCCCCAGCTAATTTTTGTATTTTTAATAGAGACTGGGTTTCACCATGTTGGCCAGGCTGGTGTCAATCTCCTGACTTGGTAATCTGCCCACCTCGGCCTCCCAAAGTGCTGGCATTACAGGCGTGAGCCACCTTACCCGGCCTGGGTTTCCCTTCGGTTTTCCCTTCTTAGGGAGTGGGAGGATTTTTGTGTGAGGTGGTATGGAAGTGTGGGTGAATGGTTGAGCTGAAGAATTAATTGCAGGTCAAAGACATGCTGCAAGGGAAGCAGAAATTTGGTGGGGTAGGGAGAGGCAAAGAAGGACCTAGTTTTAAACTGTGGGGAGGATTGGAACTAGAAGATGAAAATGAGGATTGGGGTGTAGAGAAGAAATTGATTTTTTGAGTCATAATGTTTTTCATTTTTTCCTGGATTTTTGCTTGCCTTTTCCAGGTTTAGCTTCCTCTGTCACCTTCTACTTTCGATATTGGGTCTGCTACTGGGATTGGGTAGGGACCCATCCTTAGTCTAGGGTGAGGAGGTATGGGCTAGCACCCTTCTATATTTACTCTGTGTGCGTGCATGCACTAGTATATTTTTCCAAACATTTGTATGATGCTTCTTCATTCTGGAATTTTCTAAATGCATCCTTCCCTTTTATCCAGTTCTTTTACGTCTTTGATCACTCTCTCCACTTTGTCTATTCCGTAGGGTTTTTTCTGGGTAGTTTTTCCTCATACGTGTATGTTCTAGGAAACTATCTTGGAGAGGATGAGGATGAGAAAGAGAGTATGTGTAGCCAAGGAATCTCACTAGAAAAGCTGGGACTTGAGAATTTTTCAGAGTCACATCAGGGTTGGGACTAGTTGAAAGGCTAGAACTTGGGACGAGGCATGGGGTTAACACAGGAAAGAAGGAAGTGGCAGGGCTGGGAGAAAAAAAACTAGGAAGTACTATCCAGGGGATTGGTGGGGAAGGCCAACAGTTGGACATTAATGAAAGTGGGGTGTAGAGAGGGTTTCTAGATAGATTTAGAGCAAGGAATATGGAGAAGGTATGGGAACGGTTGGAACAGAGACTGATTTGATGTGTTTAAATAGAGCAGAGTGGAAAGCAGATAATTTTTGACAGCTGGCAAGACTTGGAGGAACTGCAAATTGTGGTAAATCCTATTGAGAGGAAAGAAATTGGAGGAATAAAAGATCAGGATGGTTGATAGGATCTTTAAATATTTGGAATCAAGGAAATGGCCCTTACCTGGGAGGTGAAGTGTATGAAGATTATCCAAGGTTCATGTGTGTTTCTGATGTGCGTGCTGACCTTTAGTTGGGGTGTGAGGCTGCACATTCTGAACCAACTAGTCTGCTGTTCAGATACCTAGGGGCTGTGTAGTTTATTTCGTATTCATATAGGGTGGTCTGAAATCTGTAGGTCAGTTTTTGGGAGAGTCTTTGGACATGGACTAGAGGCCCTTGGGTGCCACAGATCTATGTCTGGTATTTGTTGTGCCCAGGAGGCCTTGGTTGGTTACTAGAGGTTAGAAAGTAGAGTAGTTGGTAAGACGCCACTTGTGCATTTTGGGGCCAAAGGAAAATGAAAAGGGACAGTGTGGAGAGATTTTAGAGGAACAAGATCCTTGTTTGCCTAGGGTGGAAAAAGAAGAAAATCTAGGTGCAGGGAGGGATTATTTAGAAATCTGTGCAAAGGCGTTGAGAGAAAGGTAAGAACTGGGCTGTGATTTGGTAGAAAGGAAATTTGGAAGGACGAAGAAGTGGTTTTTTTGGCAGACCAGGAGGATGGTGGAGCATTATATAGCGAAGACTTAGTGTGAAGATAAATGTTGAAATAGGGATGAAGGAGAGCAGGGACTTGGGTGTGGGATGGTAAGTGGTTAGTTTGGGGCCAGGGGCCTGACCCGTGTCTCCCCGCTCCCCCTCAGGAGCGGTGGTGCCCCCCCCGGGCACGGGGCCATGTACAACGGGATCGGGCTGCCGACGCCCCGGGGCAGCGGCACCAACGGCTACGTCCAGCGCAACCTGTCCCTGGTGCGGGGCCGCCGGGGTGAGCGGCCTGACTACAAGGGAGAGGAGGAACTGCGGCGCCTGGAGGCTGCCCTGGTGAAGCGGCCTAATCCTGACATCCTGGACCACGAGCGCAAGCGGCGCGTCGAGCTGCGATGCCTCGAGCTGGAGGAGATGATGGAAGAGCAGGGGTGAGGGAGAGCTGGGGGAGAGTCAAGCACTGAATGAGTGCAGAGCTGGGGGTGTTAGGTGGGATGTAGGGAGCTTAGGGTGGTTGAAAGAGGCCTGGCAAGGAGTTGTGGTAGGGGAGGAGGCAAATGAGCTCTAGAGAATTGAAAACAGTTAAGGGACAGTGCAGAGTGGGAAATGAGAAGGCTGTGTGTCTGAGGCATAGATGGGAGCCTGAGGGATTAAATGGAGGCACATGGGAGAAGGGAGGGGCCGTTGAGGAACAAAAATGTGTTTCAGGGGAGAGATGGGAAAGCAGAGACCAGATAGAGGAGCTAGGTAAGCTGATAGGTGTTGTCATTGGTAGAAAAGAAGAAGAATGGATGTAAGGATTGAGACCTTGGAAAGTAGCATGGGCAGGAAAAGAGGAATTAGAAGAACATTTGAAGAAGAGGGAATCATGGGCTGGGAAGGGAAATTTTGGAAAAGGAGCACATTAAGGCAGAAAACTCTTTTAGAGCAGTGGTTTTAAACTTCAGCAGTGGTGACCCTTTTATACAGTATCCCTCACTTTGGAATCCCAGGAAATAAAAGGCACGTTCTTATTGAAGTTGGGGAGAAGCACTTGAAACCCTGCTTGCTTAATTTTTTTCTTTTGGCCTCTGAAGTGTAGCATATTTAAAATCCACTGTTCTAGCGGGAGTAGTAAGTAGAGGGAAGAAAGATAATGGGAAAAGATTAGACTGAATAGAAGGAACTTTAGGGTGACAGCGAATGGAAACTTCTGTGTGTGCATGGAGAGGGAAGGGCCCCTTTTGGGAATGAGGGAAATGGAAACCTGGGACTGGGGAAAAGTGTCCTGTCAAGCTTAACCCTGAAGGGATTTGTTCTTCAGGTACGAGGAACAGCAAATTCAGGAGAAAGTGGCGACCTTTCGACTCATGTTGCTGGAGAAGGATGTGAACCCTGGGGGCAAGGAGGAGACCCCAGGGCAGAGGCCAGCGTGAGTGTTGCACTCTCCCTCGATGACTCTGGACTCTACTCTGGCTGCTGGCTGCCGCTCCCGTCCTTTTCCTTACGTGGGACTTCCTGCTTTTGTCTGCCTTTTCCATGTCTTATTTGGCTCCTGCTTATACTTGTGTTCTGAATATGGCTCTGTCCTTTATATTTCCTTCAGACTTTTGCCCTTCTTTTCTCTAGGGTCACGGAGACTCACCAGTTGGCAGAATTGAATGAGAAGAAGAATGAAAGACTTCGTGCTGCCTTTGGCATCAGTGATTCTTACGTAGATGGCAGCTCTTTTGATCCTCAGCGTCGTGCCCGAGAAGCTAAACAACCGGCTCCTGAGCCTCCCAAACCTTACAGGTATACAAGGCCAAGAAACCACTGTCAGCTTCTTTTCTTGATTGTAAGATCCTTGCTCTATTTTTTTCCTTTTATGGACTGATTTCTTCCCAAACTCTTCAGATTTTGTTTTTCTGAAGTTGAGGTGTCTAAGAAAATTTGTCCAAGGGCTAGCCACGGTGGGTCACGCCTGTAATTCCAGCGTTTTGGGAAGCTCAGGCAGGAGATGACTTGAGGCCAGGAGTTTGAGATCAGCCTGGGCGATATAGTGAGACCCCATTTCTACAAAAAGAAAAAAAGCTGGGTGGTTGCACGTGTCTGTAGTCCAAGCTACTTAGAGAGGTGGAGGCAGGAGGGTCTCTTGAGCCCATGAGTTGGAGGTTACAGTGTGAGCTATGATGCTGCCACTGCACCCCAGCTGAGGCAACAGGGCGAGACTATTTAAAAAATTTTTTTAAATATTTTTTTGAGACTGTCTTTTAAAGAAAATAAAGGAACGTTTGTCCTAGCGCTCATCTCTGCTGCTTTTCATCTTTCCCCAGCCTTGTTCGGGAGTCTAGCAGTTCTCGCTCACCAACCCCAAAGCAGAAGAAGAAGAAAAAGAAGAAAGATAGAGGACGGTAAGTTAGTTGGAAAGTTACTTTGCTAGCCAGAGGACCAGTCCTGTGGTGTACTCTCTCTCTGGAAGTGGACAGTTCTGGCTTCCACAAAGCAGGAGATAGTTGTCAGGGAGGAGGGAGTTACCATTGAGGCCTCACCTTGAAGAAATATCTGAGTTTTGCAGTGGGGACGTGTTGAGTTTGCAGTGTTGCCAATTAAGATCAGCCAGCAACGTTTTGGATTCTGGAATTTCCTTTTTCATTTTGAGGTTTGTTGCCTTAAGGAGTTACTTGTTGAAGAAGGAAGAAAGAAGTCCTGGGCTTAGGTCTGGGGCATTAGTGCTATTAGGATGTTCAAGTGTTTTAGAAACCTTTTTAGGGGAGAGATTGTAAGTGGGAGGGCCAGGAAAGAAGCCAAGCAGAATGATCTTGCTTCTGAATCCATCTTTAGCAGGTCAGAGAGCAGCTCTCCTCGACGGGAGAGAAAGAAAAGCTCAAAGAAGAAGAAGCACAGGTACGAGGTGTGAGTACTTGAGTGATTGGAGAAGGCTTGCTGAATTCAGGCAGAGGTGTTTTTTATGTTTTTTCTTCTCTTTTTTCCGACAGGTCAGAATCCGAGTCCAAGAAGCGTAAGCATAGGTAAGAGCTCTTTAACTCATTGAGGGCACAGTGGCATGTAGAGTGGTGATTTCTTTTTCTTGAAGTGAAGCTCAATACCTTGATCTTTCTCCTGTTAACATTCCCTAACTCTTTCCATTTCACTTTTGGTTTTACTTCCTTTTTTAAAAAAGTTACTTTTAACAACCTTTCCTTATTTCTCAGGTCTCCCACTCCAAAGAGCAAACGTAAATCTAAGGACAAAAAACGAAAGCGGTGAGTGAATTTGTGGGGAATTTGCTTAGAAAGTAAGTGAACGCCACCTTAGTGGGAAGGGGTTGAGTCAGTTATGTCCCTAACTGGTAAAAGGTTGAGGAGTAGGTGAGGAAAATCCAGGGCAGGTACAGCAGTACCCTTAGCTGTGGCGGTGGTCTTCCTTCAGGTCTCGAAGTACAACACCAGCCCCCAAGAGCCGCCGGGCCCACCGTTCAACTTCTGCTGACTCTGCTTCCTCCTCTGATACTTCCCGCAGTCGGTAAGGGGTAGTCCAGGAGGAAGGGAGGGAGAGGGAATGATGGGTTAATTAATTTAATATTTATTGAGCGCCCACGGTGTGCTAGGCGCTGCACAGACCATTCGGAAGACACGGTCCCTGCCCTCTAGGAGCTGACAGGCTAAAGCAACAGGATGGACAGACATATACATTTCCCCTTCTCTTTTTTTTTTGTTTTTGTTTATTTGTTATTTTTTGTTTCGTTCTGATGTATATGGACTGCCAGAATAGGGGGGGTGGTGGTTTGTTCGTGGTGTCTGGGGGAGGAAGGAATCCTTACCCTGGCTTCCTTAATCGGGGAAGGCTTCCTGAAGGAGGTGGGCTCAGAGGTGAGTTGTGAATGAAGCGGGTAGGGAGTGGGCTGGGTGGATGGTTTGGGGATGTTTGGGGGAGGTGAGTGAAGGGGTAGAGGGAGAACACTCTTTGGGATTGTGTTGGGAAGAGAAGAACCAAAGTGGACTGTACTTGCATTTCAGTGAATGATTTGAGTTATGCGACTAAGCAGGCTTTTTGGAAGAGGGTTGTACAGTTGGAAAAGGTGGATGGGAGTTGGGGAGGGGGTTTCCTGTTCTCCCTTTGAGCTGATTTCCTTCCTCTCCCCCATCCTCAATTAACTTCTGCAGGTCTCGAAGTGCTGCAGCTAAAACTCATACAATTGCCTTGACTGGGCGAAGTCCTTCCCCTGCTTCAGGGCGACGAGGGGAGGGAGATGCACCTTTCAGTGAACCAGCTACTACCAACACACAACGGCCTAGTAGCCCGGAGCCTGCTACAAAACAGCCTAGCAGCCCTTATGAAGACAAAGATAAAGACAAGAAGGAGGTATGTTCTTGAGTTGGTGATGTTCATTGGATTGCAAGTATATAGATTCAGGATAAACTTGTGACATGAAAGGGAGAGGTAGTAACTTACTAAAATAAATTCGGTTATTTTTTTCTGCATTGATCTCCCAGTTTTCTTACTGTATCTGCAGAACTTGTATTGTTACTAGACTGAATTGTGAACCCTTTAGAATCAAATCTCACTGGATACTAATAGGTTTTATATTGTATCTTGTTTATACACAGAACTGGAACAAAGTTGTATTTTATCTGTGTACGCCGTGTAATGCCTCTAGTTTCTTTTCTTTTTTCATTAAATGCTCGTTGTGTCTCACTGAAACTGTTTAATCCATTGGGTTGCCACCAATAGTTTGAATGAAACACTGGAATAGTCTTCAGTAGTTTTCTTTTCTAATTTTAAGCGTTAATCATTTCCTCTTGCTTTAGTGATTACAGTGTAAATTCTTGGCCTCTGTCATCAATTTTCCATGTCATCCAGGATTACCTTTCCAAATTACAAGTTGGTTGACCTCAGAAACTTAACTGCTTCCTTATTGCTTTTGAATTACATTTAAGGCTTTTAATAATTTGGTTTTTGTCTCATTTCCTGTACTCTTCCCATCCTGGTCTGCTTTTTTACTCTTCAAACAAATCATGTTCTCACATCTTTATTCATGTTGTTTCTTTTCCTTTAATAGAGTTATTCTTAAAAGGTGAAGTTGCCATTCGCTTTAGGAAACTGCTTATTTTTCCATTTAAAGATAGTTTTTTCCGCTTTGATAACATTTTGTAGTAGTATTTGTTGTTAAATGTAGTAGTGTGTTAGTTATTTGCGTTTAGTGTTTCTTCCAGTTTTAAGATTCTCAGACTATCCATATCTTCATATGTTTTCCCCACTGTTCTTTATAATTCCTTGTTATTGAATGAAAGTGATTGCTTGTGGTCAGGGGATGTGTAAAAGAAAAGTTATTGGAAAGGGTGTTGGGATCTTAGGAGTGATGTGAAGTCTTGGCGTTTATGAATCCCTATCCCTACTCTCTCTTTCACTCTTAGAAATCTGCAGCTCGACCTAGCCCCTCTCCGGAAAGGAGCAGCACAGGCCCAGAACCACCTGCTCCCACTCCGCTCCTTGCTGAGCGACATGGCGGCTCCCCACAACCACTTGCAACAACCCCCTTAAGCCAGGAGCCAGTGAACCCCCCATCTGAGGCCTCTCCCACTCGGGGCCGTTCACCACCTAAATCTCCTGAGAAACTTCCCCAGTCTTCTTCCTCAGAGAGCAGCCCACCATCCCCTCAACCTACCAAAGTTTCTCGGCATGCCAGCTCTTCCCCAGAAAGTCCTAAACCTGCTCCAGCTCCGGGGTCCCACCGAGAGATTTCTTCTTCTCCCACATCCAAGAATCGCTCACATGGCCGAGCAAAACGGGATAAATCACATTCTCATACCCCTTCCCGTAGGACGGGGAGGTCCCGTAGCCCTGCCACCGCTAAGAGAGGGCGATCTCGGTCTCGAACCCCTACAAAGAGAGGTCATTCTCGATCCCGATCTCCCCAGTGGCGTAGGTCCAGGTCTGCACAGAGGTGGGGAAGATCTAGAAGCCCCCAGCGACGTGGCCGCTCTAGGTCTCCTCAGCGACCAGGCTGGTCTAGGAGCAGAAATACCCAGAGAAGAGGCAGGTCTAGGTCAGCAAGGCGAGGGAGGTCCCACTCTAGATCCCCAGCCACTCGGGGCAGATCTCGTTCTAGAACACCAGCCCGGCGGGGCAGGTCACGCTCTAGAACACCTGCCAGGCGGAGATCACGATCCAGAACACCCACCAGGCGTAGGTCTCGGTCTAGAACACCAGCCCGGAGGGGCAGGTCTCGGTCTAGAACACCTGCTAGGCGCAGATCTAGGACCCGATCGCCAGTACGACGGAGGTCTCGTAGTAGATCACCAGCCAGGAGAAGTGGCAGGTCACGCTCTAGAACCCCAGCTAGACGTGGCCGCTCACGCTCCAGAACCCCAGCCAGACGTGGCCGCTCACGCTCTAGAACCCCAGCTAGACGCAGTGGTCGCTCACGCTCCAGAACACCAGCCAGGAGAGGGAGGTCTCGATCTAGGACACCAAGACGAGGAAGATCCCGCAGTAGAAGCTTAGTTAGACGTGGAAGATCTCACTCTAGATCACCTCAAAGAAGAGGCAGGTCTGGCTCATCTTCAGACCGGAAGAACAAATCCAGAACATCTCAGAGAAGAAGCAGGTCCAATTCAAGCCCAGAAATGAAGAAATCACGCATTTCTTCAAGGCGGAGCAGATCTCTGTCTTCACCACGCTCCAAAGCAAAATCTCGCTTGTCTTTAAGGCGCAGCCTTTCAGGGTCTTCCCCATGCCCTAAACAAAAGTCACAGACGCCACCCAGGCGCAGTCGCTCTGGATCTTCCCAACCTAAAGCTAAATCTAGAACGCCACCTAGACGCAGTCGCTCCAGTTCTTCTCCGCCACCTAAACAGAAATCTAAAACACCACCAAGACGAAGTCATTCCAGTTCGTCTCCTCATTCTAAAGTGAAATCTGGAACACCACCAAGGCAAGGGTCCATAACAAGTCCCCAGACCAATGAGCAATCTGTAACGCCACAAAGACGGAGCTGTTTTGAATCATCACCTGACCCTGAGTTGAAATCTAGGACCCCTTCGAGACATAGTTGCTCAGGGTCCTCTCCTCCTAGAGTGAAATCTAGCACACCTCCCAGACAAAGCCCATCTAGGTCGTCATCTCCACAACCCAAAGTGAAGGCAGTAATATCACCAAGGCAAAGAAGCCATTCTGGCTCCTCTTCTCCAAGTCCTAGTAGGGTGACATCGAGAACAACTCCACGGCGAAGCAGATCAGTATCTCCCTGCTCCAACGTGGAATCCAGATTGTTGCCAAGATACAGTCATTCTAGGTCCTCCTCACCAGATACCAAAGTGAAACCTGAAACACCGCCAAGACAAAGTCACTCAGGGTCTATTTCACCACACCCCAAAGTAAAGGCCCAAACTCCACCAGGGCCAAGTCTTTCTAGATCAAAGTCGCCATGTCCCCAAGAGAAGTCTAAAGACTCACTAGTTCAGAGTTGCCCTGGATCCTTCTCTCTGTGTGCAGGAGTAAAATCTAGCACACCACCAGGTGAGAGCTATTTTGGACTCTCATCTCTGCAACTGAAAGGACAATCTCAAACTTCACCAGACCACAGATCTGATACTTCAAGTCCAGAAGTGAGACAGAGTCACTCAGAATCACCATCTCTGCAGAGCAAATCTCAAACATCGCCTAAGGGAGGTCAGTCCAGGTCTTCATCTCCAATCACTGAGCTGGCATCCAGATCTCCAATAAGACAAGATAGAGGTGAGTTGTCAGCGAGTCCTACATTGAAATCCGCAATGTCTCCTGAGCTGAGCAGGTTCCAGTCTGACTCTTCTTCACATCCTACAGTGGACTCGAATTCTTTCTTGGGGCAGAGTAGATTGGAGACTTCTGACTCAAAAGAGAAAATGGCCTTACTCCCTCAGGAGGATGCTACTGCATCACCTCCTAGACAAAGAGACAAATTTAGTCCCTTTCCAGTACAGGATAGACCTGAGTCTTCACTAGTGTTCAAAGACGCACCTAGAACCCCGTCAAGGGACAGAAGTGGTGCTGGGTCATCTCCAGAAACAAAAGAGCAAAATAGTGCATTGCCTACATCAAGCCAAGATGAAGAGTTAATGGAGGTGGTAGAGAAGTCTGAAGAACCCACAAGCCAAGTCCTGTCTCATTTGTCTTCAGAACTTAAAGAAATGTCTGCAAGTAACTTTGAATCATCTCCTGAAGTAGAAGAAAGGCCTGCTGTGTCTTTGACTCTTGATCAGAGCCAGTCACAGGCTTCTTTGGAAGCAGTAGAAATTCCTGCAGTGGCCTCATCTTGGGGTGGGCCACATTTTTCTCCAGAACATAAGGAACTGTCTAACTCCCCACTCAGGGAGAACAGCTTTGAATCATCTTTAGAATTTAGAAACTCAGGCCCACTTGGTACAGAAATGAATACTGGATTTTCTTCTGAGGTTAAAGAGGATTTAAATGGACCTTTTCTTAATCAGCTGGAAACAGATCCATCTCTAGACATGAAAGAACAATCGACAAGATCCTCTAGACGCAGCAGTTCTGAGTTATCCCCAGATGCAGTGGAAAAGGCAGGGATGTCTTCAAATCAGAGCGTCTCTTCACCTGTGCTTGATGCTGTACCGAGAACACCCTCGAGAGAAAGAAGTAGTTCTGCATCTTCTCCTGAAATGAAAGATGGTTTACCCAGAACTCCATCAAGGAGAAGCAGGTCTGGGTCTTCTCCAGGACTTAGAGATGGGTCTGGGACTCCCTCGAGGCACAGCCTGTCCGGGTCCTCTCCTGGAATGAAAGATATACCTAGAACACCATCCAGAGGGAGAAGCGAATGTGATTCTTCGCCAGAACCGAAAGCTTTGCCTCAGACTCCTAGGCCAAGGAGTCGTTCTCCATCATCCCCAGAGCTCAACAACAAGTGTCTTACCCCCCAGAGAGAAAGAAGTGGGTCAGAATCATCAGTTGATCAGAAAACTGTGGCTCGGACTCCCTTGGGGCAGAGAAGTCGTTCGGGATCCTCTCAAGAACTTGATGTGAAACCCAGTGCATCCCCTCAGGAAAGAAGTGAGTCAGATTCTTCTCCAGATTCTAAAGCCAAGACTCGAACCCCACTTCGGCAGAGGAGTCGCTCTGGATCATCTCCAGAGGTTGACAGCAAATCTCGACCTTCTCCTCGGCGCAGTAGGTCTGGTTCCTCACCTGAAGTGAAAGATAAACCAAGAGCAGCACCCAGGGCACAGAGTGCTTCTGATTCCTCTCCTGAACCTAAAGCTCCAGCCCCTCGGGCCCTTCCCAGACGAAGCAGATCAGGTTCATCAAGCAAAGGTAGAGGCCCTTCTCCTGAAGGAAGCAGCAGTACCGAGTCCTCTCCTGAACATCCGCCCAAATCCAGAACTGCTCGCAGAGGTTCCAGGTCATCACCAGAGCCCAAGACCAAGTCTCGTACACCACCTCGACGTCGCAGCTCTCGATCATCTCCTGAGCTAACGAGGAAGGCCAGACTCTCCCGTAGAAGCCGTTCTGCCTCATCCTCACCAGAAACTCGCTCTAGAACTCCCCCAAGGCGCCGGAGAAGTCCTTCAGTGTCTTCCCCGGAGCCAGTCGAAAAGTCAAGGTCTTCACGCCGACGGCGCTCAGCTTCATCTCCACGCACTAAGACAACCTCAAGGAGAGGCCGCTCTCCTTCACCAAAGCCTCGTGGACTGCAGA